AGAAAAAAAAGGAGGAACACCAAGAGGAAAGAGGGGGGTGGGGGAGCGGGGCGTGGCAATGCTCTTTTTTTGTGCTGGGGGGGGGGGATGTTGTTAGAAGCCCTTTTCTTCTTGGGGGGGGGGGGGGGGGGGGGGGGGGGGGGGGATTATTCCTTGTAATTCGTGGTGGGGGTGTGCCCGGCGTCCGACTCTCCAAATCCTGACTCTAGACCATATTTCAGACCAATACACCCGTTAGGCAATGTAAGGAAGTACCAGGGGATTTTTGTGTCAGAAAATGAACGGTATCAATTAATATGAACTTAGTAATCCGAGGGGGGACGGGAATTCTTGGGAATTCGTGGTGGGGGTGCGTTGTGCAGCTCTCCAAATCCTGACGCTAGCACTTATTTCAGATCAATACCTGTAGGGCAAATGTAAAGGAGTACTCCCCCGGGGATTTTCGTTGTCTTGATGATTAACACTATCAATTATTAACTTGGTAACGATAAGGCATGTTGAGCGAAGGCAGCCATTAAATGAAGTTGAAGCTAGCGTACTGTGCTTTTTCATCGTCTCCTTCAAAAGATGCTACAATAAGAAACTTTTGCGGTTTTCCTTCACTCTTTGAAGTTTAACCCTTTTGACGAGTTTCTTCCGTCCAAAACGTGATTGCTAGTGTGTGTGTGGAAACATCCATTGAATAAAGATGTCTCTCAAGAGATGTCTCTCAAGCTGTTATTGGCACATTTTTTCAGTGCCTTTTACAAAAGATGATAGGATGGGTCGCTTTCGAGGTTTCTTTTCACTTTATGCTGAAGTTTAAACCGTTAAAAATGTGACGGCCAATTTTTCTTTTTTGCTCTACGTGTGAGTCATTCCTTACAGGAAAGTAATGTGCTCATTGTAGATCACTACGTGAAAAATCTATATATTCACTTGGACAGTTGGAAAGGATCAGACAATTTAATTTGCTTTGTTAGTCTTAAGAACCAGAATTGAGAAATATACTGCTTGTTGCCAGCGTTTTCCAATCCATAGAGCAGCGGGATTGGTGAGGGGTTCGTAAAAATAACGCTAGTAGTTTCCTGCTTAGAATGGCTAACTTGCTTATTTATATTCATAATGGTGGAATTTGACAAGTAACTGTACAGCCCCGACTTAAAATGAGACTCATTTTTTCTCGTTACGAAAGTCTTCCAAAAGGGTACAATTTTCAAATGAGTTTATGATTCTCTCTATGTCACGCAATGGTCGGTGATGAGATTATGTGATGGCCTAAGTGTTTGCAGCCACCCCCTCCCCTCAGAAAAAATGGCCCCTTGGCAGCCCAGTCAAATTAGCCTTTCAGCGATTCTTGCTATACCTTAGGCGCTATTATTCGTCCGCAATTATTTCCCTTCACGGGTAATATGTTACCAGGTTTGTAACACGATCGCATGACGTTTTCCTCGATTCTGAAGTAAAAACAAAAGCGATTTGCTGTATCAACTCTAAAATTTAACTACAATCAAGGTCACAAATAACTCCTACGTGCCCTGTCTCTCTCCTCGCCACTAGTACGTTTTGAGAACCCTACTAGTGCATGGGCGGATCCAGGATTTTTTCTAGGAGGGGGTGCACTCGTCTCTTGCTCTACTTCAACACCAATAAACCACATAGTTTTTTTTGGGCAGAATACCAGTTGTATTAGAAAACCGCAGGTCATCTCGGGAGGGGGGGGTGCGCACCCCCTGCACCCTCCCCCTAGATCCGCCCCTTCATCTCAGGGGGGGTGGGCACCCCCTGCACCCTCCCCCTAGATCCGCCCCTGTAGTGGCGAGGAGAGACGACTGTCCGGGGACCTTGGATGGTCCGCCTGCGATCAAACTTTCTATGCAAGGGTGTTTGCGAAAGGAAAAGATTTACAGGGTTTCACGGGAAACGTAAAAAAAGTTCTATAAAACACATCAAAAAGTTTAATTTGTTTTTCCTCGATTCCTACTATTTCCCTTCGCGCCTTTCCGGAAAACATAACTGTTTCCCTCGGGAGCACTGTATGGTCACATACTTACTTCGAATCACTGAGCCAACAGGTCATTTTCGTACAAAGGTATCTGAACGAGCAGAGTTCATGTGACTTACAATGAGAAAACAACACATGCTCAAGGGGAGAATAAGAGGTCATAAAAGACCAACGTTCCACTTTTTTGAAATATGCACACCACAACACTCGCTGTAACTTAATTATATTTATTTCTACCAAGTACACTTATCCTTCAGAATTTTAGCGGAAACAGCACAACAGGCTGTTTCCGCCTCCTCACAGATTTGCGATGAAACAAATATGAAAGAAGCCACTTCANGAAAACATAACTGTTTCCCTCGGGAGCACTGTATAGTCACATACTTACTTCGAATCACTGAGCCAACAGGTCATTTTCGTACAAAGGTATCTGAACGAGCAGAGTTCATGTGACTTACAATGAGAAAACAACACATGCTCAAGGGGAGAATAAGAGGTCATAAAAGACCAACGTTCCACTTTTTTGAAATATGCACACCACAACACTCGCTGTAACTTAATTATATTTATTTCTACCAAGTACACTTATCCTTCAGAATTTTAGCGGAAACAGCACAACAGGCTGTTTCCGCCTCCTCACAGATTTGCGATGAAACAAATATGAAAGAAGCCACTTCACAACAACAGCATGATTGACTTGCAGGAGGAGTCTTTTGGAATTGAAAGTATGCACCGCAGTTCACTTCGCTCCCTTCTTCTGGGCTGACTTGGTCGTCTTGCCCTGGGTCTTGTCCTCCTTCTCCACTTTCTTGATAACACCGACAGCTACTGTCTGCTTCATGTCACGCACAGCAAAGCGGCCAAGAGGTGGATACTCAGAGAATGTCTCCACACACATTGGCTTGGATGGAATCATAACAATCATGGCAGCATCTCCTGACTTGACAGCTTTGGGATTTTCCTCCAATACTTTACCACTGCGGCGATCTATCTTCTGTAAGATCTCACTGAATTTGCAGGCAATATGAGCAGTGTGGCAATCAAGCACTGGTGAGTATCCTGCATGAATTTCCCCTGGATGGTTCATAACAATGACCTGCATAGAAAGACAAGAATGTGCTCCTTAAATGCCACTTTAACATCTTTAAGACAGTTGCACATGGTTCAACATTGATGAACGAGGAATGCGTCAGCTCTTGTTCAACAAACGTTGTCAGGGTATTATAATTATCTAACTAGAGCAGTAAGTGCAATTTTCAGCTCTTGGCAAGTGATATCTATGGAAATTCAAAGAGATTTTCTTATAACTATTTAGCATATCGAGCCCAACTTTTTACAGATGTCGTTCTTTCTGTATCTGACTGGCTCAAATCCACGTGGCTTATTATTCTTCATAACCAGCCAGTTTTGACCAAATGTGAAAGAACTTTGGGATAACTGGTAAAATGCATCAATAATAAAATGGGATGGCAATGGAAAAGCCCCAGGCACAAGGTTACAGATGCTCAGTTGCTTTGGTGGAGTTGGAGAAAATGGCAGAAAATTTCATACGTTTTGTGAAGAAGGAATAGCTTAACTAAACAGAGAGAGAACAGCAACCTGAATTTGTTGAGAAACACAAAATGAAGACAAGAGCATCAACCGAGGTAAGAATGTTTAAGGTATTAATTATTTTGAATGAATGTTATAATAATTATTTCTTACAGGAATTGGATACAGCTTTCTTATGATCTAAAGAATCATGTAGATCCCAGAGGGTGTCTTCTGCTGAGGCGGCAGATAACACCCTCCTCAATTACCATAATTCTTTCTATCATACTCAGTTTCATCAAATAATATTATTATAGGGATACACTGAACAGCACAATGCAATGGCCTTACATTTCCCATGCTGAGTGTCTTGCTACCTCTTTCTCAAGAAATAAAGAGATAGAGGTAGAGATGAATAATTGAATGTAGGTTGCTGGACTTTTCAGGCAATTTTCACACTGCAAGGATACTCTTGAATTTTAAGTCGAAGTACTTTTTTTGGTTTTCACTGCAACATATACCATTTAACACCTATTGAATTTATCACTATTGAATCCCAAAGTATGCTTCTTTTATTGCATCATCACCATTTTGCTTTTACTGTAGAATCCATATTGACATTAAATATGGCTGGTGATAGAGTTCCTCATCAATGTACATACGATTTTTACTGTTCTGCTTTATCATGAATTAACGCTTTCAGGCATATCCTTGTTTAACCTGAGGTCAGTTAGCCTTGGTTCAGACGCTGTACTTTTCATGTGCTGAACCTAATTGAATAAGCTCGACTTTGGAGCCACAGTGGCGCGGCATCTGATTCAGACAGTGCACAGTGTGTTGAGCCTAAGTTAATTTCGAAAAAACTTGGACAGACTCTGTCCAACTTGACACTTTTGCCGCACCAGACTAAAACTGCCATACCAAAATTGATTCAGACACCACTCTTTTGCCTCACTTAATTCATCATGTTCGGAACACAAGCAGAGCGGCATCTGAACCAGACTTTATTTGATCTACTTCATCTAATTTGAAAAAAAAAACATTACAAGGGCAGATGGGGGTTGACGAGTTTTCACCAACATACCTGAGCAGTGAAGTTTTTGGCTCCTTTTGGAGGATCGTTTTTGCTATCCCCAGCAACATTACCACGCTTAACATCCTTTACAGAAACGTTCTTAACGTTAAAGCCAACATTGTCTCCAGGCGCAGCCTCTGTAAGGGCTTCATGGTGCATTTCCACAGATTTGACCTCAGTGGAAAGCATTTGAGGAGCAAAAGTAACAACTACCCCAGGCTTAAGGACTCCAGTCTCCACACGTCCCACAGGAACTGTTCCGATACCTTTAAGTAGGTTAAAACAGATTAAGTAAGTCACACATAATTACAGCCTGTTTACTGTAAATTCAACAATCTACCCCACCAGAACATTACAAGCTGACTTGATGCCTTTCTGAACCTTAAACACCTACTGGGTTATCACCATCTGGTCTTTAACTATTAATAAACCCAACCCCTGTTTATGGATCCATATAAACAACTTGTTTGTACTTGTACCAAGCAGGCTGTCTCAACATGTTGTTCATCTCTGCTGCAGTGAGAACATTTTCCTTTGAGTACCTCTTTTACCTTTTGTACTTGTTAAATTTCACTGGCAGGGAGGGGCGAGTGAGGGAAGGACAGCTTTTATGCTAAATTACAGTCAAACCTCCACCGCAATAGCCACCTTGGAGACAGAAGAAAGTGGCCATTATGGAGAAGAGGCCATTATGCAGAGTACAACATATTTTTTGCACTAAGTTCATGTGTACTGTACACTCTTTTTTTTTAATAAGAATATATTTTATAAGAATATCGAGGCTGAAATTGGCCAAGTTTTAAGAATATTTTAAGAATAAAGCTGAGGCTAAGATTTGGAAAAGGATAGATATAATTTTGTGTGTCGAAACATCTGTAAATACAATACAATTTTGTTTTTAACTTAACCGTATAAAATTATTCCTTTCTCTGAACGGCGAAACTAGCTAAAAAAACCTGCACTAGCTATAGCAAAATGTTCAACGCTAATGACAGTTCGATGAACGGTACATGTAATACATATGTACAGTATTCAGCACAAAAGACAAACTAAACCACAAAAAAGTATTATGACAAATTCTTTCCTCTTTAAATAACAAAACCTAGCGAAAACAAAAACAGCACTAGGCTTTATTGAAGAATAATAGAAGAATATTTTCAGCCTAAAATCGGCAGAAAAATAAGAATATTCAGCCTGGGCCGGAAAAACAAAACTTATAAAAAAAAGGAGTGTATCCCATAATGGAAATCCAATCAGAAATAATATTGTATAGAGATAAAACACACAAAAACTTGAATGAGGTTTTGAATCAAAATGTCCACGTGACAAAACCAGCAGGGTTCGCAACATTCACTGCAAGTATAAAGAAAATTTATGCTTACTTCAGCAGTATAAATGGCGCACAATCCAAAATAGGGTTGCAGCGATTAATCATTGATGTACCTACGGATCAAATTTAAGGACCATTCTTGACTTTTTCATAAGCCGCTAAAAACACTGGCCGTTGTTGAGGGGTTATTTTGGCAGTTTGGGATGCACTTTTGTGCTCATTGCCATTGTAGAGAGGTTTATTCAAGAGTCAATGTGTGGACTGTCCATCGGAGCAAAAAAAAAATCGTTGTGGAGAGGTGGCTGTTAGTGGAGGTTTGACTGAACTTTACATAAGAAACATTGTATTAACCTCCAATTTTGTAGACATCCTGCAAGGGCAAACGCAGAGGCTTATCGGTGGGTCTTTTCGGGGGCAAAATACTATCCAGGGCTTCAAACAGAGTTTTTCCACTGGCATTTCCTTCCTTACGTTCAATAGCCCATCCCTTGAACCATGACATCTAAAAATAAGAAAATAATAATGGTATTTTTTCAATAACTTCTAATGAACAGGTGACTAACACATACTCTCCTTCATTTCATCAGGGCTCGAAATTGCGACTGATACAGTCACTGATACGGCCCCAAATGATATAGAAATGATCAGAAGGGAAACAAAATTTACCTCAAGTTAGCAGGAGGTTGGAGTTTTCAAGGGTTCAAGTTACCGAGGATATAATTACAGTAATGCATGAAGAAGTCCAAGGGAAATTGAGTTTGGTTTGAGTTAGCATGAGGTTCGAGTTAGCGAGGGTCTGAGTTATTGGGAGTCAACTGTACTTTTGAACAGTGCTGCATAGACTTAGGATAAACTCTCTTTCAAGTTTTAGGCCCAAAAAATTGTCCCAACTTAGACACCAGAAAATACAGTATCTTCACGCAGAGGGGTTTCTTGAAAACAGGCCTAAAATTCACCCAGTTAGTACTAATACAGAGCTTTAGCAACCACAAAATCAACAGCAGTGGAAACATCACTTAAGAAGTGAATTTATGCTGTTTAAAAATTCACCACTCTTGTTCTATCTAATCAATTTGCCAAATGTTGCCGATTTTTTCTGGAGTCGAGTCTTTAAGGACTGTAAATAAGTTGAGAAAAATTCTGTCCACATTCTCCATGAAATGTCATTGCTGTAGTCCAGCAATGACAGCAAATAATTGTACAAAAAAGCATGCTGCATGTGCAGAGTTGTTTTTTGTTAATCTTAAGCTATTGCTTTTTTGCTGTTGGGGTTGCAGTCATCGTTGCATAAGCTCCCTATTGCTGGCAAGCTGTTGCAATACATACATTGTCACTTGGCTCCAGCATATTGTCTCCATGCCAACCAGATATGGGAACAAAGGCAACAGCTTTAGGATTGTAACCCACTTTTTTTACATAAGCACCAACTTCCTTTTTGATCTCCTCAAAGCGCTTCTCACTGTATGGTGGTTCAGTACTGTCTATCTTGTTTACACCAACAATAAGCTGCTTGACTCCCAATGTGAAAGCTAACAATGCATGTTCGCGAGTTTGTCCATTCTTTGAAATACCAGCTTCAAACTCTCCAGTTCCAGAAGCAACAATTAACACAGCACAGTCAGCCTAAATTGTTTGAGAAAGAAAACTTTTACTGGTCAAGAACCAATGCAACCAATAAAGTCATACAGTAGCTCTTCCAGACCTCCATTTTCATTGGCCTAAATAAGCAGTAGCTTCTTTTGCTTCTAAGGCTAGGGGTATTGTTTGTGTTGAATCAGCCAAATACAACAATGTGCATTTTACTAGGAGAAATGATTTCGCTTAAAATTCCATGTCAAGAACACAAACAAATTTTACAGTTTGATTTGGTGTCATCCCTACAAAATGTTTACTACTTGAGCTTTTCTCAACATAGCTTACAGTAAAAACCCGCAACTAAGAACCTAAAAATTAAGAACCTGTTAGCTTAAAATTGGTCATTTATACCCCCTATAAACAAGAACCTATTTAGCCTAAGAAATTTCAAACAGGTTCTTACTTTCTAAAATCATACTAGTACATTACATGCACAGCTGCATTGCAAGAATCATATTTTAAGAAAAGAAGCAGATTGCCATTGTTGTAAAAATGTTTTTTAAAGAAAAATGAGTGCAAGATATGTAGACTTACAAAGCATACTAAGCAATATGTAGATCAGCACACCATTATGCATTGTTTTTTCTCCAGTATTAAGAACCCATTTTAAGAACCTAAATAGCCTAAAATTCTGTTAACCCTTTAAGCCCTAAGAGTGATCACGGTCAAATTTCTTCTTGTAATAGCAATGCTTTGTAAAACAGAGTGGTTATGAGAATTGCAGACATGATCACACAAGATTAATTTGCTTGATATTTATCAACTTCTCCCCACTACTTCTGTAGGAAATGAATAGGGGCAACAAATGAGAATTCAAATTTTGATTTTCGGGTTTAAAGGGTTAACTACCATTTATATAAGAACCTGTCTAAGCTGACTCCTAAAAGTGTAGGTTCTTAGTTGGGGGTTTTTACTGTATTAATCAGCATACAGTAGAGATTGCGTCTAACATACTCAAGGTGAGACGGACCAATGTGGTGCAAGGTAATAANATATGTAGATCAGCACACCATTATGCATTGTTTTTTCTCCAGTATTAAGAACCCATTTTAAGAACCTAAATAGCCTAAAATTCTGTTAACCCTTTAAGCCCTAAGAGTGATCACGGTCAAATTTCTTCTTGTAATAGCAATGCTTTGTAAAACAGAGTGGTTATGAGAATTGCAGACATGATCACACAAGATTAATTTGCTTGATATTTATCAACTTCTCCCCACTACTTCTGTAGGAAATGAATAGGGGCAACAAATGAGAATTCAAATTTTGATCTTCGGGTTTAAAGGGTTAACTACCATTTATATAAGAACCTGTCTAAGCTGACTCCTAAAAGTGTAGGTTCTTAGTTGGGGGTTTTTACTGTATTAATCAGCATACAGTAGAGATTGCGTCTAACATACTCAAGGTGAGACGGACCAATGTGGTGCAAGGTAATAATAAAAAAAAAGAACACCAGGGAACCAATGAAATGGTTAGCATTAGGTAGCATCAGCTGAAGCCAGATTGTTTCTTCCACTAAAATTTCAAGAAGGACAACTTAACTGTTCAATAGAAAATAAGATCTATGAACAGAACTGCAATGCCATCTAGGACAAGCTTATTATCACTTATTTTAGCGGGACTTTAATTTCATGAATTTGGAATAGAAATATTTTGCAGGACTTAAATTTCGCGGTTTTGACGAATCATTCACTGTTTTTGAAGGTAATTAAATTTCACAAATCAAGTACACTAGTGCCCGGTTTTTTAAACTTCTATTTCCATACTGTATTTAACCATAATGGCATAGAAACATAAAAAGCAACTGGTTGGAATATTTAACAATAGCAGCAACACTGATACAAGCAACCAAGGCACTATTTAACTCGATGGCGCTGCCAATTAGCTTTTAGATAAGGATTGCCTCAATGTTTTCAAATGGATCTTCAGGCGAGGAGGTTGTCTTTGCTTGAACATTGCTCCATCCTCTTGCAATGTGCTGCTTTTCCACACTGCCTGTTACGTGGTTGCAAAGAATATTGTTAAAAGGATAAACCACTGTGGAGCACTTCTGCGAAGTTCTTGAGTTGTAAAATTGTTTTATTGTCTCCCACGCGTTTTGTGTGACTAGCACACACTTTACCAGGGAGTTTTACAATACAATTAAGAGTACATGTATATATACCTAAAAACAAACCGAGTTACATTGAACACAACACACCCACGGATTTGTGTCTACAAAACACGCAGAGAAATATTTTGCAAGGTTTTTGTGATGTTTTGAGGCCCACAGTTCTTGCTAAGTACCACTAGCAGACAGACAACTTAAGTTACGTTTTCTATAAAGCTCACTAATTTTCGCATCTTTAATTTCCGCGGCACCTTTTCTTTGCGGGACTTTTATTTCGCGAAAATAAGTGATGATAAGGTTGCTGCCAAATCCCAGAATATGCATGTATGTATGCCATATCCTATTACAATATTTGAAAGCTAACTGTCACAGTTCGGTACTTAACTTTCTGGTACGCTCTCTCCATAACTGGCACAGTGCAGTTTTGTTTTTTATTTAGTAATTCTACAAAGTTAGTGGGGTTCTGTTCAAGTCTCGTTATGCTGAGAGAATACATTGTGTAAACCTCATTAGGTGTCTATTCGGGCTTCACACTGTGTTCTCTAATGCTAACCCAATGAAATTTTGGCATTCTTAAAATCACATGACCAGGGGGACGTTGCTAAAAGCCAGCTGCCAGCTAATTTCTCCAGCTAAAAAGAGCTTATCACCAGCTCAAATTGAAAGGAAAATAAAGACATGAGGGAATTTTAGAGATGGAGATAAGTAGAACAGCCAGCTTGACTATCCAAAAAGTCTGCTTATCACTTTCTTAGCTACATCCTTGCATGACAGATATTCAAAGTATTCTTATGTACTCATGTGTATTTTTTACATGTGTATTTGCATGTGTACTTCTTGTGTAATTTGCCCACAATATTGCATATCATGGAGGAGACATCGTTGCAAGAAACCCAAGATCTCACAAGCAGGCTAGCTGCCTTTCATACAAACACAACAAAAAAATAAAGAGAAATAATGCAAGAGTCAAGCCAGCCCAACAAAATGGGTAAGCATGCTCAACCAGGCTGACTTGCCTCTTGTAAACGGGGAGGCTGGGTGAAGTGATGCTGCTCTTAAACGGTTTATTTGTGGAACTTGCTCCACAAAATATGAAGCTTAGCACCAATCCTTTCTTTACTCTTCATTTTTATGGCAACCCCCATTTAAGTCCCTATAAAAAAGTTTCGAGTCTAGCACTTGACATTCTCCCTGAAACTACAATATTACTGCAAAGATTGTCTTCAAGAGCTTCTTCTTTAACTGAGTGAAAATTTGTGGCTTACCTGTGATGTTCCAGTGATCATGTTTTTGATGAAGTCACGATGACCAGGGGCATCAATGACAGTTATGTAGTACTTCGTTGTTTCAAACTTCCACAGGGCAATGTCAATGGTAATACCACGTTCACGCTCTGCTTTGAGCTTGTCCAAGACCCAAGCATATTTAAAGGATCCCTTGCCCATCTAACATGGAAAGAGCAATCAATAAAACTTTCAGCAAAGTAATCATAATAGAGATGACTTCACCAGTTAACCAAAACACAAATTCCTCACAGGCAAAAATGTTACGATTGACCAGGTTTGTAGCTCGTCTAGCCAGTAAGTAAGGTCATTTAGCTTGCTGAATTCCCAGTCTTTTACAAGAAAAGATCAATAGTGCCTTCAAAACACTCTTTGATTTCATCCCCAATGGACTGCTTTAATATTGTTGTTGAATCAGAGAAAATGATATACTCATGCTGCCTTTGATTTTAGCCCCTTGTGAGGATGAAATGGATGCCTTCCTCCCCATGCCCAGTTGCTCCCCAGTTTCTCCAGCCTTTGAATGCACTAGCTTCCAAGCTCATTAGCAAGTTTAATAAGTTAATGTATGATTCTACTGAAGATCTTCAGATAGAGCATGATGAAAAAATGTCTCCCGGCCTACAATCAGCAACTTTGGTGCAAATTGGTGATATAATAGAACAACTTTCCACTAACAACACCAAGCAATCCTTTTACATCCTACAATGACTTTGTTCTCAAAATTGTGAATTGAGTCCAATTTAAAAGGGACTTGTGCAGAATACTGTAGTAAGAGCATAACACTCAAGATCTTGTGATCAAATTATAATGCAAAGCCATTTTTTGACAAGTAAACATACTGCTTTTCAATCTCTTTTCAATTTCTTTGCCCTTTTTGCATGACTGCGACGTGGAAATGCCTTATTTCAAGTCTTGCAGACAACATAAACAAGGCGCAGCAAAATTTCACTTCTCTTTATGAAATTGGATATGGTCCCTTGGAATTCAACATGGGTTTGCCTACATTACACAAAGTGGGTAGGAATAATTGGGATGAAGACCGAAAGAGCAAAAATTCATGGCAGGCTCGCACTAAAGCAGCAGTTATAAGCGTAAGCAAATCTGTGAGAGCCGTAACTTGTTTTTAAACAAGTTTTACCTCTTCAAAGTTAGGCTTTATCAAAGAAGCAAACAGCCACTCGCAGTGGTTTCTCTTCCTTAGTTGTGTAGTGTCCAGCCCAGAGAAACCACTGCTCACAGGGAGACGCATAGTAGTAGAGTAATTATAGACATAAATAAACCATTATTTTAGGTTTTTTTTTCTAATTCCAGTGCATTTTTAGGGTTTTAAAGTAATGTCGAAAAATTGTTGCATAACCCTTACAGGGTTTGAGCCAGGCCGCACCATTGCACCAATTCCGCACTGCAATTGGAATTGTCCCTTTAAAAAACGGCCAAGGGGACAATTTGTCCCCTTCAAAATTTAGGGAAAAAACTTGAAAGGAAGCACACACGAAGAGATTTATTTCGGTACAGAAGTTGCAAGCTGAAACAGAACGTGGAAAGTATATTTTATCGCACCTTTAAAGTTCATTCCAAAGTTACGTTTCAGTCACGCTCTACTGCTATTTTTGTCGGAAATCTAAGACAGGACTTCTGATTTTTCGCGCGGTCATGGAGCCGCGACATTCACAAAAACACGAAAATTACCGCGAAATTCAGTAGAAATCTTATCAAATACATGTCTGTACAACATATTTGAAACTTATTTCAGCTATAGGGGCTATTTACTTGCCGTAAACTTGCAAATTTATCTAGGAACTTCGTCACTGAAACGTGCAAACAGATTATGTTGCGAAAAACTGGGCACTAGCCATCATGTTAAAGGCTTTGCCACTGGTTCATTTCTGGAGCGTATTGTTGTTGAAAGAGCAAATGATGACCTCTGTTCGAAAAATGTTTAAAAGTCTGTCCTGATCAGCGCAAAACCGATGATTTCTAGCGAAATTTGCCTTGAAAATTACCACAAAATCGGTCGTTTTTTACCAATTGCTTTTAGGTGAAGTTTGCCCCGAAAACTCCCGCGAAATCGGCCGATTTTTCCGCGAATTTGTCCCTAAAAATCCTGCGAAATTTGACTTTTTCATCCTAGACCTATCAGAAGCCTTGCTTAGAAGGAAGGGTGTACAAATTTCTGTCCCCCTAAAAATGAAAATGTCCCCCAAAATTTTAGCAAAGGGGACAAATTGTCCCCCAGTGATCAAATCCTAGCTCAAACCCTGCCCTTATCTCTTTAAAGGGGCTGTGTCACGGCAGTCCAGTTCATTTTGTTTAATTTTGCCGATTACTCGCCCTCAATCGCTATGACACTTAAAGTAAGCAAAGAAATTACATGTAAATGACAAAGTCAGAGATTCGAGACAAACCAATAGGTCTCCTGAGCATTATTTTTGAAGTTGCAAACTGCAGAGATAAACTTTGAAAAACTGTTAGGCTGAACAGTTTTCAAAAACCCTAATTTTAATGCGTTTCAATCTTCTTCAGTTTTGCCCATTCGTGTCTGTTGTATCTGTTGTGTTTTAATGTTTTAAGCGGTTATTTTTATGTTTCTCGTCGATTTAACGGGCATTTTGTAATTGCCTAATTTAGCTGAATTTCGTGACACAGCTCCTTCAAGTCTGCATGGACACTTTTTGCAAAAAAAAATAATAATACGCATGAAAACGTTGTATGCCAGCATATCACCATAAGCACAAGTGCTACCGAAAATTGGCTCGAGAGACACATGAAATTTGGAGGACATTAGCAGGAATACCTTGGCTTTAATAGATGAAACAGTACGTGACGAAACCTCCCTCAAAAACTACACTATCAGCCTTCACTGTCGCCTACTTGAAAGACGGCAAATGGCACAACACGCGAACAGAAACAAAACTTACTTCTGCAGCCTCTTTCTCGAATTTCTCGATGGATCGCTTGTCAATCCCACCGCATTTGTAAATCAAGTGGCCAGTAGTAGTGGACTTGCCAGAGTCTACGTGTTACTTCCACAGGGCAATGTCAATGGTAATACCACGTTCACGCTCTGCTTTGAGCTTGTCCAAGACCCAAGCATATTTAAAGGATCCCTTGCCCATCTAACATGGAAAGAGCAATCAATAAAACTTTCAGCAAAGTAATCATAATAGAGATGACTTCACCAGTTAACCAAAACACAAATTCCTCACAGGCAAAAATGTTACGATTGACCAGGTTTGTAGCTCGTCTAGCCAGTAAGTAAGGTCATTTAGCTTGCTGAATTCCCAGTCTTTTACAAGAAAAGATCAATAGTGCCTTCAAAACACTCTTTGATTTCATCCCCAATGGACTGCTTTAATATTGTTGTTGAATCAGAGAAAATGATATACTCATGCTGCCTTTGATTTTAGCCCCTTGTGAGGATGAAATGGATGCCTTCCTCCCCATGCCCAGTTGCTCCCCAGTTTCTCCAGCCTTTGAATGCACTAGCTTCCAAGCTCATTAGCAAGTTTAATAAGTTAATGTATGATTCTACTGAAGATCTTCAGATAGAGCATGATGAAAAAATGTCTCCCGGCCTACAATCAGCAACTTTGGTGCAAATTGGTGATATAATAGAACAACTTTCCACTAACAACACCAAGCAATCCTTTTACATCCTACAATGACTTTGTTCTCAAAATTGTGAATTGAGTCCAATTTAAAAGGGACTTGTGCAGAATACTGTAGTAAGAGCATAACACTCAAGATCTTGTGATCAAATTATAATGCAAAGCCATTTTTTGACAAGTAAACATACTGCTTTTCAATCTCTTTTCAATTTCTTTGCCCTTTTTGCATGACTGCGACGTGGAAATGCCTTATTTCAAGTCTTGCAGACAACATAAACAAGGCGCAGCAAAATTTCACTTCTCTTTATGAAATTGGATATGGTCCCTTGGAATTCAACATGGGTTTGCCTACATTACACAAAGTGGGTAGGAATAATTGGGATGAAGACCGAAAGAGCAAAAATTCATGGCAGGCTCGCACTAAAGCAGCAGTTATAAGCGTAAGCAAATCTGTGAGAGCCGTAACTTGTTTTTAAACAAGTTTTACCTCTTCAAAGTTAGGCTTTATCAAAGAAGCAAACAGCCACTCGCAGTGGTTTCTCTTCCTTAGTTGTGTAGTGTCCAGCCCAGAGAAACCACTGCTCACAGGGAGACGCATAGTAGTAGAGTAATTATAGACATAAATAAACCATTATTTTAGGTTTTTTTTTCTAATTCCAGTGCATTTTTAGGGTTTTAAAGTAATGTCGAAAAATTGTTGCATAACCCTTACATTCCTATTACAATATTTGAAAGCTAACTGTCACAGTTCGGTACTTAACTTTCTGGTACGCTCTCTCCATAACTGGCACAGTGCAGTTTTGTTTTTTATTTAGTAATTCTACAAAGTTAGTGGGGTTCTGTTCAAGTCTCGTTATGCTGAGAGAATACATTGTGTAAACCTCATTAGGTGTCTATTCGGGCTTCACACTGTGTTCTCTAATGCTAACCCAATGAAATTTTGGCATTCTTAAAATCACATGACCAGGGGGACGTTGCTAAAAGCCAGCTGCCAGCTAATTTCTCCAGCTAAAAAGAGCTTATCACCAGCTCAAATTGAAAGGAAAATAAAGACATGAGGGAATTTTAGAGATGGAGATAAGTAGAACAGCCAGCTTGACTATCCAAAAAGTCTGCTTATCACTTTCTTAGCTACATCCTTGCATGACAGATATTCAAAGTATTCTTATGTACTCATGTGTATTTTTTACATGTGTATTTGCATGTGTACTTCTTGTGTAATTTGCCCACAATATTGCATATCATGGAGGAGACATCGTTGCAAGAAACCCAAGATCTCACAAGCAGGCTAGCTGCCTTTCATACAAACACAACAAAAAAATAAAGAGAAATAATGCAAGAGTCAAGCCAGCCCAACAAAATGGGTAAGCATGCTCAACCAGGCTGACTTGCCTCTTGTAAACGGGGAGGCTGGGTGAAGTGATGCTGCTCTTAAACGGTTTATTTGTGGAACTTGCTCCACAAAATATGAAGCTTAGCACCAATCCTTTCTTTACTCTTCATTTTTATGGCAACCCCCATTTAAGTCCCTATAAAAAAGTTTCGAGTCTAGCACTTGACATTCTCCCTGAAACTACAATATTACTGCAAAGATTGTCTTCAAGAGCTTCTTCTTTAACTGAGTGAAAATTTGTGGCTTACCTGTGATGTTCCAGTGATCATGTTTTTGATGAAGTCACGATGACCAGGGGCATCAATGACAGTTATGTAGTACTTCGTTGTTTCAAACTTCCACAGGGCAATGTCAATGGTAATACCACGTTCACGCTCTGCTTTGAGCTTGTCCAAGACCCAAGCATATTTAAAGGATCCCTTGCCCATCTAACATGGAAAGAGCAATCAATAAAACTTTCAGCAAAGTAATCATAATAGAGATGACTTCACCAGTTAACCAAAACACAAATTCCTCACAGGCAAAAATGTTACGATTGACCAGGTTTGTAGCTCGTCTAGCCAGTAAGTAAGGTCATTTAGCTTGCTGAATTCCCAGTCTTTTACAAGAAAAGATCAATAGTGCCTTCAAAACACTCTTTGATTTCATCCCCAATGGACTGCTTTAATATTGTTGTTGAATCAGAGAAAATGATATACTCATGCTGCCTTTGATTTTAGCCCCTTGTGAGGATGAAATGGATGCCTTCCTCCCCATGCCCAGTTGCTCCCCAGTTTCTCCAGCCTTTGAATGCACTAGCTTCCAAGCTCATTAGCAAGTTTAATAAGTTAATGTATGATTCTACTGAAGATCTTCAGATAGAGCATGATGAAAAAATGTCTCCCGGCCTACAATCAGCAACTTTGGTGCAAATTGGTGATATAATAGAACAACTTTCCACTAACAACACCAAGCAATCCTTTTACATCCTACAATGACTTTGTTCTCAAAATTGTGAATTGAGTCCAATTTAAAAGGGACTTGTGCAGAATACTGTAGTAAGAGCATAACACTCAAGATCTTGTGATCAAATTATAATGCAAAGCCATTTTTTGACAAGTAAACATACTGCTTTTCAATCTCTTTTCAATTTCTTTGCCCTTTTTGCATGACTGCGACGTGGAAATGCCTTATTTCAAGTCTTGCAGACAACATAAACAAGGCGCAGCAAAATTTCACTTCTCTTTATGAAATTGGATATGGTCCCTT